TTCCCCAGGATCAGTCTTGTGTCAAGCCCAGTGAACCCACAGTGGTCCAGTCATTGTTTGTAACTTGTAATGTCCCTAATATTGCCCTGTATCATGCAGTCGAGAAACTCTGGAGATTAGACGTCGTGCCCTTTCTTAACCCTAAGGTCTCCACGGGATCTAAACAGGACAAATATGCCCTGGAGTTGTTGGAGAGAAGGACTATAAAAGTGGATCTAGGAGGTGTTCACTACTCCACGCCTTTACTGCGCATTGCAGATTTCCCTTTGCTCAAGGCTCCCAAAGAATCAGTCTTATCCACTCTCAAAAGCACTGAGAAAAAACTGTCAAGAAATCCAAAACTTGAGGGGATCTATAACGAGGAGATCACAAAGTTACTCCTGGCTGGGTATGTCAAGAAGCTGACATTGGCAGAGATCTCATCTATTCCTGAGTCCTGGTACATTCCTCATCATCTTGTGGAGCATAATGGAAAACACTGATTGGTATTCAACTGCTCCTTTGACTATAATGGACAGAATCTGAATAAGCTCCTCTTACCTGGTCCAGTGCTTGGTCCTTCCTTACTTGGTGTTTTGCTACGGTTTCGTCAGCATTCAGTTGCCATTTCTGGTGATATCAAGGCTATGTTTCACCAGATCCGTCTTTTGCCCGAAGACCGTCCTTTACTCCGTTTCTTGTGGCGCAATATGAGGCGTGAAGCATCACCCGATGTGTATGAATGGCAAGTCTTGCCTTTTGGCACCACATCCAGCCCCTGCTGTGCGATTTATGCAGTACAGCGTCATGTTAGAGAATATCAGCCTGGCCATGAGGATGTCCTCTCATCTGTGCTTCATTCCTTTTACGTCGATAACTGCCTGCAAAGTTTCCCTACAGAGGAGGAAGCCATTCACCTTCTTGATCGGTTAAGACTCCTGCTTGCATCTGGTGGCTTTGAGATACGGCAGTGGATGAGCAATGCCCCTTCTGTAACCCAGCACCTTCCCAGAGGGGCTAGATCAGAGAGTACAGAGCTTTGGTTGAGTCATGATCGAAGTGAACCATTCGAAGGGGCATTGGGTTTAGTCTGGTACTGTTGTTCGGACACTCTGGCGACAAGCACCGGCCTGTCACCTATGTTACCCTTACCCTTCGTAATATCTACAAGGTTCTTGCTAGCCAGTATGACCCAATTGGCTTTCTCATCCCTTTTACAACCAGAGCCAAAATCCTTATCCAGAAATTGTGGGAGAAGAAGCGCGATTGGGATGATCCCTGCCTTCCTGAAGCTTTCGTCAGGGCTTGGAACTCATGGGAGTGTGAGTTACCCCGTTGTCAAAGATTCGACTTCCAAGGTGCTATGACACGGATGATGGTCAGCCAGTAGTCAGAGAGTTACATGTGTTTTGTGATGCCTCAGAGGTTGCCTATGGTTCTGTGGCTTACCTTCGTGTTGTTCATCCTAACCAGATTAAAGTTTGCTTTATCATGGCTCGCTCAAGGGTGGCTCCACGGCGCCAAATCACTATACCTCGTTTGGAGCTGTGTGCTGCTCATTCTGGGGCTCAGCTCGCCCATCTTGTGAGATCTGAGCTCACGCTTCCACTCGATCAGCTGGTAATGTGGACAGATTCTACTACTGTCCTAGCATGGCTCCAGTCAGAGACTTGCCAATACAAAATCTTTGTGGCTCATCGTATCACCGAAATATTGGAACTTACGGATGTCTCTGATTGGAGGTACATCGACACGTCAAACAACCCAGCAGACGATATTACAAGGGGCAAACCACTAATTGAACTGTCTACGCCCCATCGCTGGCACCAGGGTCCACCATTTCTGTTATTGCCTGCAGAGCAGTGGCCAGCATGTCCCAATCGCATGTCCTGTGATGCATCTGAGATAAAAAAAGGTGCTTTCTGTGGTAACTCTCAAGTCACCTCTACAAACGTTCCCACTGATCTCACGAAATTCCATACTTGGGAAGACATGGTAAATGAAACCATGAAATACGTGTCTTCAAACTCTGCAGTCCCTGCCCGCTCCTCAGCCGAAACAATGCTCCTTCAACATGCCCAGCAGCAAAGTTTCCCTGAAGAATACACCCTATTACAATCTGGCAAACCCATACCTCTACAGAGTCGTCTATTCAACCTTTCCCCAGAGTTTGATCCAGCCCTTAATGTCATAAGAGTGGGAGGCAGGCTGCGTCATTGCGATGCCTTGAGCTATCAAACCATTCATCCAATAGTCCTTGACCCAACCAATCACATAACTCAACTGCTCATCAAGAGTGTGGACAGAAAGTTACATCACCCTGGCTCTGAGAGGGTGCTGGTCAGCTTACGTAGGAGTTACTGGATCATACGTGGACGCCAAGCAATTAAAAAGGTACAGCAGTCATGTTTGGAATGCCATAAATGGAAAGCCAAACCCCGTACGCCATGAATGGCAGACCTTCCCCCCTACCGATTGCGGCTGTTCAAGCCCCCTTTTTGGTCCACTGGAATGGACTGCTTTGGCCCTTTTCATGTGAAGGTTGGGCGCAGGCAGGAGAAACGTTGGGGGATTCTTTTCAAATGTCTTACCACACGTTGTCTCCATATTGATCTGCTTACAAGCCTTGATACAGACAGCTTCCTAATGTCCTTTCGTCGGTTCGTAGCTCGTCGCGGTACCCCCTTTGAAGTCATCTCAGACCACGATACCAACTTTGTTGGCGGGGAACGAGAGATCCAGAGAGCTTTTAAAGAACTGGCCCTTCCCCTCCAAGAACTGCTGGCTAGTCGAAAGGTCCACTTCAGGAGGAACCCTCCACATGCTCCCCACTTTGGAGGGGTATGGGAACGTGAAGTGAGAGCCATTAAGACAACACTGCGGGTCATTCTGGGCTCCCAATCGATCACTGAGGAGGTCTTAAGAACTGTGCTCACTGAGGTTGAAGAGATCTTGAACTCAAGGCCCCTTGGTTATTTGTCATCTTCTCTTGCAGACCCAGAGCCTGTGACCCCAAACCTTCTCCTTATGGGGCGGCTTGAGGCTGCACTTCCACAAGTTGTCTACACAGACACTCGACTTCTGGGGACCAAAAGGTGGCGGCATAGTCAGGTGCTTGCTGATCAGTTCTGGAACAGCTTTATCAAGCACTACTTGCCTACTCTCCAGTCAAGGCAGAAGTGGAAAGTGGAACAGCCCAACCTGACCGCCAACACTGTTGTGATGATAGTCGACCCCTTGCTCCCACGAGCTTCCTGGCCAGTTGGAACTGTAACAAAAATTCTTCCCAGCTCAGACGGCAGAGTCAGGGTTGCCGAGGTCAAGATCAAGGAGAAGTCCTTTATACGCCCTGTTAACAGACTTGTTCCCCTTACAGAGATCCGGGATGATGGCGATCACTAGATTGGATCTTTGTGACTTTATTTATTTTTTTGATTACAAATATGTCTTACATATTTGGGGGCGGCTGTGAAAAATCCCTTCCTTTCCCTGATCTCTTGCCTGTCTTGGGCCCGCCTCTGGGCGGTGCCTGGCTCCACCCAAGTCTATAATTACAGCCTAATGGCACCTGCTCTTTCTTGATCCTCCTGAGCTGGTTGGAGATTCCCTTTTTCATGTGGAGAACTGCGTAAATGCCTGTGAGTTTTACCTACTATTTTGTTCTCCACATGAAAAAGGGAATCTCCAACCAGCTCAGGAGGATCAAGAAAGAGCAGGTGCCATTAGGCTGTAATTATAGACTTGGGTGGAGCCAGGCACCGCCCAGAGGCGGGCCCAAGACAGGCAAGAGATCAGGGAAAGGAAGGGATTTTTCACAACATTCATGGAGAACAAAATAAAGGAAGATTGCTTGGAGGTTCAGAGTCAAAGTTGGCAGTTCACAGACTGATCCATTCTGTGAAATTTCCCAGGAGCCTCAGTGATGTGTGGCCTCCCTGTGCCTTCATACACTCACTACAACGACACATAGTCCTGATGGGACCACGGATTAAATTTAGACCATTTTCACACATAAAATAAAATATTGAATTTAATTTATTTTTGTGTCTCCTCAAAAGAGTCACATAGAAACCTCTCCAAAGGAAATGCACAATGATCGTTTCGCTGTGGCTTTTACCTTCTCCAGAATTCAAATGTTCCTGAAGATTAAAAAATAAATAGTTAAACTGCTTTGCAGTTTAACTATTTGCAATCAGTTCAATTGAATCAATTGAACTGATTGCATTCCAACCAATGCAATGATAACTCCTCAACAACTCAGCAATTCATCCACCCAGTCCTACACAACTTAATTTTTCACAGAATACATAAACATTTGTTTGCTAAAGATATCTTTTCAAATCTTAAAATGAACAAGTTGGTAAATGTTGTGTTGTAAAAAGATTCTGTATGTCAATAAGTGATAACAAAATCATTGGTCATTTACAATCTGTTCAATTGCAGGGAACATGGAGGACTACCGTTTAGTATGACTTGGGATTATACATGTTAAGTCTTTTCAAAGATAAATACAAAAACATATTTTTAAATAAAAAACATATTTTTGTATCCTGCACATTTATCATTATTCTGTTTGTGTACAATTGTGCAGTAAGATAGTAGTGTGTATGTATACTACTCACATGGATCTATTAGGCTACTCGCTGTACGTTTAAGAGATAAAACACTGAACACTGGTTCTAAACACTATCTACATGTGTCACAAGCTTCATCAGAGTGCTTAGTACATATTACATACTGTCCACAACTTGTGAAGTGGAAATTTGAAAAGAGCAAATGTGTTTATTGAAGCAAACAACAAACCACATGTTCCTCAAATACAACACAGAATTCTGGATTTAGCAAAACTGTGTAGGCTGACTACACAATAAATGATTATAGGAACCACGACACATTGAACACAAAGTATGAATAAAATATTGTATCTTCGCATATAAAAAAAACAGAACAGTTTTCTTCCTTAACTGTCAAGTGATAATCGATGATGATTCCCTCTAAATCTATGACTGAAAAACACGTCTTTATTTCATTCTCTTGTAGACATAGATGACCCTTCGACAGTTTGGGCAGTGGTGCTCCACGTCTTGACAGGACTCAACACAGAAGGGAATGCAGCTGCAGATGCAAAACCTAGAGCACATAATACACACTGTCAACTTTAGCAAGTCAGAGTTTTGGTTTCACAGATCCAATAATACCCAAAGAGGCAGAGTCCACCGAACAGAAGCCAGGTCAGGAGTCCCGGTGTGGGCTGAATGTGAGTTAACACAGTCTGGCGGCAGTGAGGGCACATGGCCTGTCCGGAGACGTCCTGCAGGGCTGGAGCCATTGGAGAAGTTACATTTATGATCTGCATTTATTTATTTCAATTGTGGACAATAAAACAGTTTTAAATGACAAATGGCAATGGAATTTCTGATAATTAAAGGCACTATACCTGATTTACTATCTAATGAGTACATACAAATGCGTATTACTACATACAAGTTGTATTAAAATCCATAATTTAATTGACAAGTTTAGCTCATTAATTCAGCTTGTGAATGAACTCAGGTCATGCAAAGCTTAAGTGCAGAGTAGAAACTAGCATGACGCTAGTTCTCCTCCACTTGCACAACAAGGGGTGGCGCTGTTGCAAACAAGCCACGCCTCCTCTAGCGTCTGCAGTAAACAGAATATTATTGCTTGCTTGCAATCACGTGACGCATTAACTTCCGGTTGACGAAGTGGTGGTCAGGCCAGCAAGAGTTGCTGCTGATATTTGAAGAAAATGCGACTCTTCCGAGTATTTCTTTGCTTTTTTGGATATTTCATGACACTTTGAAGCTACTGTGGTGAACGTTCTAACTCATCATTCTAACAATATGCACAAGGCAGAATTTTTCCATTACATCTTTTGGTAATATCAAGGTTGAAGCTACTGGCACCACGCCAAATGCTAACATGCTAATAATGCTAATAAGTCTCCATTCCTCCGCTGTATGTCACTTACATTCTGTAACTCCTTTGTTTATGCTGCCTCTACCATCGACAATAAAACATGTCTTCTGTGTGAATTAAAGACACGATCCTAGACTGTCATTTTCTTCACTTTAGATTCTAATCCACGGCTAGTGTTACCATCAAGCTTTTGCACTGCTAAACAACTGAAGGTTTGGATAAACACGGATACTGCAACTTTTCCGTCTGTGGGTTCAGGAACTCAGAGTTAATGTCCTGAAGGACACATCCTGCATCGTACAGAGTCATGTAAGTAACGATTGGTGAATGAACTTATCATTCTCAACAAAACAATGTGTCTGTGCTGTGTTCTTTTCAGGTCAAACATTCACAGTGATTATTTAAAACGCCGACTCATACCTGACAATTAATTAAATAAAGATCGGGATGTAATAACTGAGCATTGTGACTGCACGGCTGGGTAAATAAATAATCCTTAGAGGTAAAAGCGTTTGCTAGTGAAATGTTAGCGAGCCACTTTTCCTGCGTCTTTTCCTAAAGTCCTTAGTGCGAGGCTCTTTATTCATCTCTTCATGAAGAATCCTAAAGTATCCTTTAAAGGTTTCACGATTCGATCGGTTAGAAAACGTAAAACAACACATGCAAAAGGCAGATTCAGGGGTGCGTACCGATGTTCCCCGGGTCCGATGTTCCCCCACTTCTATAGGCGGGGGAACATCGGACCCGGGGAACATCGGTACTTCGCGTATTAAAAAGTCCCGATGTTCCCCGGGTCCGATGTTCCCCCGCCTATAGAAGTGGGGGAACATCGGGACTTCAACAACGAGACTAGTGCCGCTGTTCACCGCGTACGCGCTTTGATGTTTCCTCCTCCACGAAAGATGGCATATGATCCGCGCCAACTTTTGTGAGAGAAAAAATACTAACTAGCCTAAGCCTATTTACTTTTCTTTTTCCCTCTCGCTCTTTGTGTGCTCATATTTCAGCTGATCGCAGCTTGAGTCTATGCAGGATATTTTTGGGCATGTTATGGGCATGTTATCTCCCCTTGCTCTCCCATGGGCATCTATATTTGACAAGTCTGACTGAATAAAATGAGGACGATTGAAACTAGAGCTACTACATCTGTTAGCCTATAGTTTTTACAAATACGTGGTTTTGCTGAGGGCACTGTGCTTTTACGCATAATGGACACGCATATGACGTCGTTTTTGTTGTAAAACTTGAATATGCTCTTTTAGTTTTAGAGATATTAATACATATTATTCTATTCAGAATGCGTGCGTCATTGTGCATTGTTGTCCCGCCTTACGTGTCACTCACAGTTAAAATGTAAATAACCAATTCAAACATAGCATTTTTACAACTTGAACTTTAAGAAAAAAATGATCAAAGGAATCAGTGTAAAATAAGATCCGAAGCTCAATTCATGATTGTTTAATTAGGTTTCCCATTTTTAAATACAATTGGAAACGCTCAGAATTCAAAAATATTGAAAAGTGTATTGGCTCCTACAGTGGGGGGAATAATAATAATAATTATAATAATAATATAACCCCCTGAGCGTCATCACGTTCCTACGTTGCTTCAAATATAGTCCTGTTTATTGGCTGAACAATTTTGTCCAATAACATATCACACAGCGTGAAGCGAGAACAACCAGCTATTCCTCGTCTTAAAGATTGACAACGCTCTCAAAGCATTCACAACAGAGCAGCCTTTTTCATTTTAATTTTAAGAAAGTTCAGCGTGAACTTTGTGAGGTAGAGGAGCCAGAGGCCCGGGCCCATAGGTCCCAGAGGAGGAGAGCGCGGTCAGGCCTGGCTCGCCTTGCACTGATGAGGTAAACTCTAGGCCTGTGTGAGACACACTGTGGGCCTCACTGTGGGCCTCACTTTGGGCCTCACTGTGGGCCTCATGTATGAAACCTGCGTACGGCCAAATCAGGGTAAATGAGGCGTACGCAAAATATTACACTTTTCCGCATTTATCTATCTGGACGTGAGCGTACAATACGCAAAAAATAAACGCCAGGTCTGGAGGTGGTGTAAATCTATACGCTGAACTCAACCTTCGGCACAACACGCATGAAATTCAAGATATGTACAACAATAAACATATTCCCTCTGGCAAAATTATATGCTGTGTTTTCATTGAGGATCATGTTTCAAAATTTGAATTTGCGCATCAGAAAAAGTCTAATGGAAACACGCAAACTTCGAATAAATCACAGCTCATGAGGACCCTCTATTAAATCTGACTTGTGTGTGTATTATTTTGATCTGTATGTTTTTAAAATGTGAAGCGCTTTGTGATCCTGGACAGTGAAAGGCTCTATATAAATACACTTTACGCAACAGGGATGTGTGACCCATCTATTGTTGTGGCAGGCTCTGCGCTGCGGAATTACGCACGGCTATTTGTATTCCTCATTCACATCTGGTAAAGCAATGTGTTATTTCATTAGATTTGTGTAAGCCTCACACAACCGCAAACGCTCTCTGAAGTGTACAGCGCCTCAATGCGCACTTCTACCCCGAGCCAGGCTGCGTCCAAGACGCTGCAGACGCTTCATTCATGAGAGCCACCGCTGCATAATATATATGAATTAATTCATTCATTCAATCAATCTATATTTATTCACTTCTACAATTCAATAAGGATTTTTCTAATGTATCAAAACATTTTGGCAAATTGCGTAAATGGAATATACACCCAAAATGTACACCTTTTTCAACGCAAGTTTCATAAATGAGCTTGTGTGTATGTGCGCGCGTGAGTGCGTGTGCGTGCGTGTATGCGTTTGAACCATATTCTTTGAAACCCCAATTCCAGTTACTTCCCTTGTAGTTTGCAAGCGAATTTGGCCTACTTACTAATCTGCAGGCCTACCCAAAATAGACTAGTTATGAGCGAAAGCCGCTTGTTGCTCCATTATCCGCGCGCAGCAATAACATGTCTATGAGCGAGGCCCGCAGTCGGGGAACACCGGGCCCTCCGGCGGGGAACACCGGACCCGGGGAACACCGGACCCGGGGAACACCGGACCCGGGGAACATCGGGCCGACCCCAGATTCAGACACGCTGCTCTAGTGAACAACTAGCTCGGCTGACCACCACTTTGAGATACGCATATGTAATGAGACGGACGATACCTCTGGCTGTCAAAGAAGAAATCAAGCCCTGGTGAACATAGCTAGCTTACATCATCGCTGGACAGACCTGTAGGTGCGGGACCGCCTCAAAATTTGGACTCAAAACTGGCAGTAGTTTTTCAGTTATAGTACTATATATTTTGTTGGCAGTGAGTTTCTTTTGTACCATTTCATCAGTGATTGTTGTACAGCTTGCTAATGCTAATGTTTGCACTGTATCAGATCGCTACTAAAACTAGATGACTCTGTGGGAGGAGAGCGGAGGGGAGCGAAGGGGAGAGTAGGAGGGTTTCTCAAAATGAAAAGCCTGTGAGCGAGTTGGGGGGTGGTGTTAAACATTCAAAAAACCTTGCAGAAACGGGTGTAGCTCCTTTAAGGAGCTGAAAATAAATTGTATGTTGTTTCTTAATGTTTCTCAGCAATCCTTATCTTACATGGCTTAAATGTTATCTTATGGTATCCATACTGCTTATGATTCGTTTCATATGATTTCATTGTATGTATATATTCATTTGTTTCTTTTAAATGTGGATGTGTTAAAATTTCTTTTTCACTTTATTATCAGGTATTGGTAGATTTAGAAGAAAAAAATACAAATTTGGTACATTTTCGAATTAGCCACTAATATCATGTAGAAAAAGTTATGGGGGTGGAATTCTGAATCATTTATATTCAAATTCCAGAAGATGTTGCCTACGTCCCGAATAAGATTACTAACTAACTAACAAACTTTACGTTAGTTAAGTGAAGTTTTACTTTACAACATTTGATTGTGAGTGAACGAAGACTGTGATTTACATCTAAGCCGATGCTTATGTCGTGCTTGTCTCCGAGACATTTCATTCATATAAAAGAATAATCACAGAGAAGACTCATTTATATAGAGGTTTTATACTCACCCGTTGAGAAGAGCACTGGTGCTGGAGAGTGGACCACAACTAGACAAAATAAGAAATATATATTGACATTGCCTTGATTAAAGGGGCCGTATGCATCAGTGGTTTAATAAAGTCATTATAATTAGACATCATAAATATTGCTCTAACTGGACTTCACTTCAGGAGTTGTTGCCACAGTCCTCATGACATCACAGGTCTGTATTGATGCATGTGATCAGTGTTCATGTGTTGGCTGCTTTCACATCTCCACAAATGAAGCATTTTGCCAATGCTTCCAATGTCACTGTGTGCCCTGACAGTGACTTTTTAGTCCCAGAAAGTAGATTGTTTCAAATTGTAGTTTTTATTAGGACCAAACAACTGCAGAAGAGTCCAATTTTGAAGTGATTTTCTCCGGATTACCAGTTTACTTTTCAATGCACGACAACAGGAGCCAGAGCGAGTTGGAGCAAAACCTTGTCTACTTCCCTATTGGGTTAAATTGAGCAACACACAGTGGTGAGACTGTGTGTTCAGCCTTAATGACTGATGACATGCTTCCATCATGTTCTTTCATTACTAAGTCTTAAAATAATAATAATGCATTGATTTTATATAGCGTTTTTTGGACACTCAAAGATGCTTTACATGTCATTATTCTTTTACTCCATACACCAGGGGTGTCAAACTTATTTTGGTTGAGGGCCGAAAAAAAAATTAAAGGGCCGTTCAGGGGCCGAAAGAAGAAGTGGGTTTCATTTTTTATACTTTTTATAATATGAAGGTATCTATATAAATGACTTGTTTCACATTAGTTAGACTGGATATTCTTTTCTGAATAGATTTAGTTCAGTTCCTGTGGACTGGACCAAAACTGGACCAAATATTGAAGGTTAATGTGAAGATTTTTTACTTCCGGGTGGATCATCAGACTATTGGTCCTCCCAACTGTCAATCATTCTGGTGATTTGTGCTCGTCAAATAAGACCAGAGAGTTTTGTTCAAAATGCTGCTATTTAATATAATAATTTAAAACATCTCAGGGGCCACTGGAAATGGTCTCGCGGGCCGGATCTGGCCCCCGGGCCTTGACTTTGACACCTGTGCCATACACGGTGGTGATAAGCTACTGCTGTAGCCACAGCTGCCCTGGAGCACACTGACAGAAGTGAGGCAACCACTCCGACCACTACAAACCATTCACACACACACACACCAGACTCTTTCTAGGCAAAGTGGGAGAAGTGTCTTGCCTATGGACACAACAAAAGTTCAGCACTTTGCAGCCGCCCCACATTTACAGACTATATTGGTGTTCCTAGAGGTCACCCATCACAGTACTGACCTGGCCCTACCCTGCACAACTTCAGAGGTCTGACAGGATCTGGCTTTCACATGCAAGTATAATATTTCACTTATATAATATGTGTTTAAATGATTATGTATTTTCTGATCAATGTCATCATCAGGTGTAAGGCTGAATCATCACCTGTGGTGGGCACCTGCTGGGTGTAGGCTGGGCCTGAGCAAAAGCAAGATGTTTCATTCAAACAACAAATTAAAGAGTCAATACAAAAATATGTTTTAATGTTCTGTACTAACCTTGAAATCCCCCTTGTGGAGGGGGACACATTGGCTGCCCTCCTGGATATTGCATTGGTGGTCCTGGGTATGGAGGGGCATAGCCACTGAAGCCTGCGGTTAAGATATAGATTATTAGGTAGCCGTATTTGAGGTGTGTTTGCTCATGTAAAGTGTGTTAAACCTATGGTTTATTATCATTATTATTATTAAACTGAAAGATTGAAGTCTTTACATTACTACCAAGGTCCAATTCCTTCAAAGTTACACCTAGAAAGTACACAGGACAAATGTATTAGAAGATGAGGTTATAGACTGTATATGCACTGCTGCTACAGTATTCCCATGCATGCGCTTTAGTGAAGCTCAAGATCACAAGATTACTCAAAGTTGTGGGATTCACAACACTTTGGGTGATAAAATCCAGACATGGACAATCTCTGTCTAAAATTGAACAGACAAAAAGTCAGGTGATAGACGACGACTCCAATCTTAAAGCAGCAGTAAGCGATTTGGTCGTTTCCGGCAGTTTCTTCGAGAAGGGTCTGTCTGCGGCCTGCAGTCACGGAGGCGTGTCGTGTAGTAGGCGTGTCGTGTAGTGACGTCACTACACGACACGCCTACTACACAAATTTTAAACCCGTTGAAAACTCGAAGAGAAGACATGGCAGACCTACGCAAACAGTAAGTGACAACCAACAACATGTTTTATTTATTTTTAGTCCATCACACAAGTTACAGTGTATTAATGAATAAATGCACATCACCCTGATAAGAAATGTCTTTTAAGAAGTGAACTAATACTATGGATCTACGGATACATTGCAGAGAAAGCAATTTGTATGGGTTTCTTCTGAGAGTCATACTATGTGCGATCAACATGTCGTTAGGCACATTGCATAATTTCCCAAGTCATTTTACATCGTTAAAATGGCAATAAAGAGGAAAAACATAACCTTTTCATTAGGGCTGTCCAAAATAGCGCGTTATTAACGCGTTAACGCAAATCAATATTAACGCCGTCATTTTTTTTATCGCGCGATAAAAAAAAAAATAGAAACAAAGAAAAGGACTAGTTCAGATACATTGTAGACAGAGATTACAAACAATATGTAGTTGGAGATACAGGGGGCCAAAGAAGAAACCCAGAAGGGCACATAGGAGGGGAGGGGGGGGGGGGGGGGGGGGGGGACATGAAGTGGGAGATGGGGGGAGGGGTTAATAAAAAAGGCAATACAAGCAAACAGTATACAGTCATAGATATAGCGAAGGTAAACAGAGAAACAGCATAGAGTATTTACATGAACAAATTTACAAAATATTTACAGATTGTTTATCATCATCATAATGACACCATGATGTTTCTATACAGTCTATGGTCTATACCCACACATACACACACACACCCACACACACACATTGAAGGGGCTTTTTGTTACCAATTTTTTTATTTTGTCATCCATTTATTGATGATTTTGCATCAAATGTTAGTGTGTAATATAACACTACACATTGTTTTCAATAAAAAAAAGCAATTGCACACAGCACGCAAATGTGTGACTAATTTGCGATTAATCGCGAGTTAACTATGAAATTCATGCGATTAATTGCGATTAAATATTTTAATCGTTGGACAGCACTACTTTTCATGTTTTCCAAGCACAGCGGAAAATTAGTTATTAATTATGCAGTTACAGAAGTCACTGACCGTAGTTATTGGATGATGTTACAAGACATTTGTGTTTCTGAGCGTGCACAAATGTCTGTTTATGTCTGCTTTCAGTTACATCCTACGATTGTCAGTGATGGACATCGAGCTGCAGAGCTGATGCAGGGGAAACGCTCACGTGTGTGACTCGTTTTAAACATGGAGAAGCACAGATCATCAAATCAAATCAATTTCACACACATGCAAACCCATGAAAGGGCATATGCCAGTACTGTAGAGATGGTGGTGTATATATCTGTATATATCTTCTTCAACAACACTGCTACCAGTTTTATTGGTTGCTTATTCCAAATCCTGTGAAATTGTTTGACAAACTTTTTTGTTTTCTGGATTCTATCATTTGTTTCTTCAGGCATGGAGGACGGTTTGCTCATTTCACCAAAGAGGGAAAACAAATGGTCAATGGGTGTCTTTCACCCATCTTCAGACTGAAGAGGGAGAGACAGCCAACTGAAGAGACAAATGTAAAAATGTGACATCACAATCATTACTGAGTGATAGCAAAGGAAGGTTTCTCACCCATCATCTGTACTTCTTAGCAAGTTTTCCTAAGAAAACTTGAAAACTAGCAAGTTAGGGAAAACTTGCTAAGAAGTACAGATGATGGGTGAGAAACCTTCCTTTGCTTTGACTAATCCCTGTACGACTGAGAGCTTACACAAAATTACTGAGTGATATTCATAGTGGCCTTGAACGAACACATTAGCAACTTGCATCCTTTTTCAGCAGCGCCCTTGGACAATGACCAACCAGTGCAAGGCAAAAATGACTGAAATTGTCCAGCAAACACAGTTGGTAAGTGACTGACAACATTATAAGACGTTACATAGAGTGCACATGTTATGATTTTAAGTGGGTGCAGCAACGAGTGTGCTGACGATCAAGTGCATGAAGGGGAGAAGCTCAATTAGGGAACACCTTGAGGTAAACATACAGTATCAGCATGAAGATATACTTAGTAAGATTTCAAAGTGAAAGGCTTTCTCAATAATTTGTTTGTTGTTGTCATTTTAGTCATACTGGCAATGTGGCAATAATGACCATCTCCATCCTCTAATATAACTATTCTTTTTCAGGCTATCTTAACTGGGGACTTTGTTTCAACATGGGAATCCAGGAGGGAGAGGCCAACCCTTTACTTTGAGGACGAGCAACTGGATGAGGTTGTCTCCTTCTTGTTTGCCGTCATCAGGGAGACCCCAAGAGCAAGACAGCAGAACGACTGGATTGACGTTGTCATGAATGTGCTCGTACCGTAAGTATAGCATGATTAACATAATTTGTTTTACATTAGTAGGCCTGAGCGCCACCAGGCTGGCACAGGGACTATTGTAATGAAAGTGTGCATAAAACAAACACTGATCCCCCTCAAACATAAACATCTCATGGTGCATGTTTCCTGGATGTACACTACTAAAAATTAGTCTGCATTGCAACATTGTTGATGTAAATGTCACAGGGGTAAAAAAGCAGGTTCTTCGGACCCGGATTTAAAAAGGGACCACTGGATTAAAAGCGAATTAAAAGCAATTTATTATAAAATACATTAAAAACAAGTAAATAAAAGCAATAAAAACCTAAGCTAAAAAACAAGGTAAAAAAGCTAAAACAGAGGCTAAAACAGGCCAAAATGCATCCCCACGGCCTGGGCCGCCAGACCACGGGGCTCTCACCCGCCGCGCCTGGCTCCCGTGTCTGGCTCCCTCTCCGTTTTTCTCTCCTGCCCCCTCCCCATCTCCTTTTGTACCGTGGCACAGGTGTTCTAATTGTCACGTGGGGAGCCGGGGTGCTTCAGGTGGTGCAAATTAAAATCAATATTAAAAACACACACACGACATGCATAAAATATAAAACAAACCATATTAAAACCCACCACCCATTTTGCACCCCTCGACATATAGAGACCATAAAGTCATAAGTGCAAGTCACTGACAATTTATTAAACAGGACACAACATAATTTAAGGCTGCATTTGGTTTTGTGAATTGTTGTTGTTGAATGTAACACATTTCACTCTTATCTAGGTGACAGTTCACACTCTGGCCGAGGCATTTCACCTGCCTCAGCAAGAGGAATTTGGAAGATTCAAAAAGGGGCAAAAGTATGAACCATGGTAAGATTATTTTAAACATTGATGGAAATATTTCAACGTTCACTGCAACATCTAATCTGTGATTGTTCTTTTTGGACAGTGAGTTTAAACTGATTGTGGATGCCCTGGTGAGACATTTACCGGAGGAGGCAGCAGGGAAGCTGAAAGCATTTGAAGAAAGATGGAGATTAGCGCTCTCTTCTGAAGCCTTTCTCTCAAGATTAATATAAATTTAAACAAATGTTGTTGCAATATTTGTTTTGTGTAGAACTTATTCAGTGTCTACATTTCAGAGCCATTCACATAACACAAATTCATAAAAAAGCATTTACATAAAATGCCAGATAACAATAAGCCCCTCTTCTACATACATATTTGGCAAAACACAATAATAATGATTGTCTGCTTGTCCCAAAATGCCAAAGCAGGGAGCTGGGCACAAAAAATGTTTTGGCATGGTCTGTTTATGATCAGGAATGTGAGACCGTGTGCGTAGGAGTGTGTGGTGGTGGTGGTGGTGTAATAATAGCTTTAATTTGTATTGTGCTTTTCAATCCTGTGTTGACAAGTTTCTCAAAACCACACACTGTAGTCTTTATTCATTTATTCCACACAGCTGGGTTGGAGGATGCCAGGCTGCAAATCTGTGCTATTGGCCACCACCAAGCAGTCTCTCACTATGTCCACACATGTGGGTGAAGTGCATTGCTCAAGAACATACCAGACTGCACTTGGGGCAGCCAGGATTTGAACCACCAACCATAGGCCCCTTTTATAAATGAATCTACACATTAGACATAAGCACTCACATTATTTGACTCATTAACTTTTGTCCTGAGCCGCTTCAAATCCCTATTGATTGTCTGAAGTAGTCTGAAGTAATGGCAGCGTTTGTAGGAAAATGTACTACTTTGATATTTACAAAATTCGTCCATTTTCCCCCAATAAATAATGATGACAATGACATGCTCCATAAAATTCATTATTGCGCATAAATTCATTATTGGGCATAGATAGTAGGTACTTACTACTACTCATACCTGTATTATAATAGATCCATGCTCATACCCCTTTAAAGACCTTATGCCGGGTTTGATTTATTTAGAAATACAGTTTGGGTATTGGAACGGGGCCCATCGATCTATGGCCCAGTCCCAATACCCACACTGCACCCTACACACCTCTACGAAGTGTGCATGTGTCTGAAGTGCACACCAGGGTTGGAGTGCGC